ACTGCTAGGCCTTTGGTCTGATTGTTAAGATTTGGAAGGGTGCTTGGGTTGTAACAGGAGCAGTTGTTGTTTTGGATGGCTGGGGAGATTTGGGTTGAGCTGGGAGGAGAGGCTTAAATCTGAGAAGCTGGGACTTTGATTTAAGCTGCTTTGAGTTCAGGGGAGCAGATTGTTGTGGAGTTCATGAGGCTGGGTAGGGGAGGCTGCGCTGGTTCAGCACTGAGCTGAGTAAGAACCTGGGCGGCATTTACAGCACCTGAGTGTGGTAATGCTGAGAAGTGTTCCTAAGTGTTAGCTAGCAATTGATAGTTGTGTGACCTTTGATTTATTGCTCAAGGTGAAAGTACAAGTTGGAAATGCTCTTAATTGAGACACCATATGCATTCCATTTTCAGCTTTAGTCATTTTACAGATGCTCACATGTTCATGATGTGAGCATCTGTAAATGTGAAAATCATTCCCTTTGAGAGTTGTTTATTTAGGAGTAGTCTTGAGCTTACCCTGCATGCTCTGAATGCTGCATCAACGAAAAACATGAAGCTGATCTTGAGACAAGAAGTGGTTGTTGTTTTGCAGTTTGCAGCAGTAGTGGTTTTGTCTTAGTTCTCCTTTAGCAAAGGCAGAAACAGGATTGGATTCTTTGAGAGTTGGAGGCTTCTTGAGGTTGTGTGGTTTCTGTGTGTCTAGACCAAAGTTTTAGTTGAAAAACATGGTCTTACTTTTTAACTTGCTTTTACTTTTATTACCTGTAGATGATCACATGCATTTGTCCAGACTTTTCTACAATTACCCTTTGATTCAGAGCTACTATACGGGTCACCGAGAGAAACTCGAGCGCTTATCAAGGTAAGACTCAGAGGAATTCTCTAGAAAGCTGCCACTGTTAGACTGTGTGAGAGTGGTTATTTTTGCAGTTAAAACCCTTTGTCTGCCTTCCTTGGCATTACACATAACAGAGCAAGAAAGCAAGCCTGGAACCCAAAATGCAGCTCTTCTCTTGGGTTTGTGCTTTGGACTCCTTAATTAAGAAGTTCATTGTGAGCTAAGGACCATCATTCCTCTGACTCCGAAATCTGTGACACTGAGAGGCTGGAATGAGTGTTTTACACTGTGCAAGCCCTTGTTCCCTTTTGTTGCAGAGGCAAATGGGATTCTGATTGCTTGATGATTGATGGAATGGTTTCCCAGTTGGGAGAGGAAGTGGAGAAGTTGTGGCAGAGGGATGAAGGCGGCACTGGGAAATACCCACCTGTTAGTTTACATGTGAGTGTTCTGTTCACTGCAAACCCCAGCAGCAGCAGCAGTCCCCTAAAGCCATTGATTGCGAAAGACAGGAGCATTAGAAAACCTTTTGATCTTTCATTTCAGGCACTGCTGGATCTCTATTTGCTGGAAAGCATTGATGAAAGCGACAAACATGCAATTGTATCCTTTCCAGAATCTGTTATCTCTTCTTCAGTCTGTGCACATAAAAGTTTTTACATGTTTGTCACCTGTGTGTGCTTAACAACAATTTTAAATTTATGCCATAAACACAGTGTGAGTGAACACGTTTAGAATAGAATTAAGTCCTAGACAGAAGCATTGCTTAATTTCTTTCTAGATTGGAATTTTTCTGATTTAATTTTTAATTGTTTTGTTCCAAAGTCTCTTCCAATTTGAGAAAACATGTTCTCTAAGTTGTATTCAAGATAAAAACCTTGCTTAGTTGTACTCAAATTTTAACACAGTTACTAATTTTTTAAGACACTCTGATATATAGCAATAGAGTGCTTATTAGAGTGGTGCCCTAAAATGTATTGTTTCACAGCAAAAGGGTTTGTAACTTTGGTTTTCCAGTTGCTAATTTTTGCCAAAATAATTTGTTTCGCAGCCCAGCTAGCAGTGGTTTTTTTGGGGGTTTTTTTGTGTCAAAACTGCAGGCACACAGAATATTCACTGGGCAGAAGCCTAATTTTTAGGCTTCTGGAGCATGTAGACTTGCTTTTGTTGTTCGTTGGCTAAACCAAGAGTGGAGCCTGGAGAGCAAAGGGGTTAAAA